GGCGACTCCCACAAACATGACGGCCTGGGCTACACCGTCGATTCTCGGTGATTTCGATCTCGTGCAGTTGAGAGGTAAGGCAAGTTTTGGGTCAGAGGTTCGAATCTTTGCCCTTTACGCCAGCGAATGCATCCACTGTCCTCCGCCCGGTTGCATCGAGGTTTACCGCGCAGCATCCTGCTCGGCCTCTTATTCCCGCTGCCCGACGTCTTAAGAGATGTCCTAAGAGATCTCGACATTTGAATCAGCCAGCTAGTGTCGACCGTGTTTGTCTGGCTGATGAGCTTAATCGTCCTTTATTGCAAGCTGTTTGGGCTAGTCCGACCCTACGGACGATGATGTGAGGGCCCTTCTTGTTTTTAAGAAGTCGGGGAAGACTGGCAACTATTATAGCTCGGCCTCCCTGAGGGTCGACAAGTCGTTCGAATACAAGCTTCCCGACTCATTGCACAGCTATATGCCGGAGTGGTTTTGGGTCAGAGGCGGATGGCAAACACCGGATGCAGCCCGACATCTGCCCACTGGTTTCATTACCGACAAATGTGAGCTTCCCTTGTTTTATGACTATTCTTCTGATTACATGTTTTCTTTCTATGCTAACAGTACGGTATTTCCGTTTCAGTCCACAACCCACATATTGACATAAGCGACGACCTAGTTGAGAAGGTCGGTGTATTGCTTGGATTTGAGGAAGGACAACGCTACTATCGCAACCTGATATCCCAGGTAGCGGCTACTTTATTTTCTCACTCACGGTTTCTGTTCTGAGTCCGGTAGCGACTACTTTATCCCAGGTATAGTTCGGTTCCCTCGGTTATATTGTATTCCCGATCAAGCTTCGGTACTTATGCTTTGTTTTTTTACCTCGGCAGTATACTACCCATTGTTTAGGACGTGCGGGTTCCGTTCCGTGAAGGAAGCAAATAAGCATGTGCGCGCCAACCCCCACCCCTTAAAAGAAAGAAAAAAGATGATGAGCACGGTGACTTTCCTAATGAACCAGAACAAGAAGGCCCAGGCTCGAGCTCGGCGAGGACGTCCAGCATGGTGCCCCCGACCCTGGCAGCTTCAGAACCGTTGGCTTCGAGGGTCGACACGACTAAGAACATCACGCCGGTGACCGGCTGGGAGCGCGAGGGTTGAGCTGGTGGTCGTGGTGGAAGGACTGGTGGCCAAGTTGGCGGCCGTGGGTCTGAGGCCGGCCGTGGAGATATCGGTCTGAGCGGGGTATCGAGACCCGCCAGAAGAAAAGCCGGGATCGTGGTGAGATTAAAAGTAATCCGAGGATAAAGGAGTTGCGGGGGCACGGGATGAGGCCCCTCATCCCCCAAGAAGAAAGGGCCGAGAAGGCGGAAGTCGGCCTGATCGGTGAAAATTCTGGCCCCAGTTCACCGAATTGGGACGTCTACCTATGTCCCTGTGAATCTGGGGAGGAAGGCCTCGCTTTCTAAGAGCCTACCCTGATTCCCAGACCAATCGTTCATTGATTCGAGGGCGGCAGTCCCTTTCGACTTGCCCAACCCTGAGCAGGTGATGTCCGCGGCCCGGACCGTGATGACCTCGTGGACCCCGGTTTCTAAGGCGGCCGTGGCGATGCTTTCCCCGCCTCAGATAATTCATCACTTGATGGCAACCTTAGGTCGGGCCATGGTCAAGTTGGTGTATGCCACCGAGATAATGTAGAGGGAGGGCGCCGCCCGCTGGAAGGCCGACGAGGACCTGGCTGTTTGCAAGGGGCGTATCAGCGAGCTGAAGGACGAGACTTAGAAGTTCATGAGGCTCGAGAATGAGCTCGTCCTCTAATAAAGGACGACCGCTAAGGCGGAAGATGCTGCCACCAAGGTTGCCGACGACTTGACCCCCGTGAGTGCGCTGTTGACCACGAGGATGGCTGAGTTGGAAGGACGTCGCACCATCAAGCTCGCTAAAAGCGAGAGGCGTCGGGATGAAGTGGTTATGGAGCTCGAGAAGAAGCACAAAGTCAACCTAGCCGCGCTTTCCGAGTTGCACACCGCCGAGACCGTCGAGCTCGTCCAGAAGCATGAGGAGCAGACTGTCGATCTCGAGGCCTACGGGAAGAAAATGTCTTCACATGTTTGCCTCTTGAAGAGAACGGCGAAGCTCTACGGCGATCCGATTGCACTTCCTCCGCCACTCACATACGCCGAGGTGCAAGTCCAATATTTTGAGGATATGCGTCGGAGTATGGACATCGTGACTGCATTCAACCTCTATTTGTTGTTCCAGAGGGTTGATGCTGGGGTACTTTCCCTCTAGGACATCGGAGAGATTCTCTGTGAGAAGATAGCACGGTACGACCTTGAATTCGATGGGGCAATCTACAATGTCGATATGGATGAGGCCGCGGTGGTCCACAAACTCTGGGGCTGGGCCGACGATATCACAGTCAGCTTTCAAAGGTTCGGGGCTGTCCCTCGTCTGAAGAAGGGCACCTGGGACCTGGGGAGCTACTCCAAGAGTACGAACCGTTCAAAACAGAGGTTGACTCGTCGGTACCTCAGGTTATGCATATAGTGGTCGCCGAGATGGAGGAAGCTGAGGCAGTCCCTAAGGCGTCGGCGGAGGCGGGGGACGAGGCCGGTACCTCTAAGATCGACAAGGAGGCAGAAGTCACGACCGAGGGGCCAGCCGTAATTCAGAATGCCGAAGTCATTTCCCCTGGGAATCTCGAGTCGAGCTCTTAACTCTTCATTTGGCTTGCGTGCCGTTTTGTTGACCGTGTGTGGTCATTAAGACAGTTTTGTTTATATCTACAACTTTTGTCGTTTTTTCGGCCTGCGTGTCATTCTGCTGACCGTTTGTGGTCTTGAAACAGTTTCAAGTACTTGGGTGTTTTCCATTTTTGTTGGTTTTTTAATGGTTATTTATGAAAATGTTTATCTTTTTGCCATCGTTGAGTTGATGCTTTTTTCTTTTATAGATATGTGTTTTCATTATCATGTCGGTCGTTTGGCCATGATTTTCTATTTTATGCGCGCTGTCGAACTCTTTGAACAAGTTTGGTCTTAGCGCTTGTGCGGCCTTTTGCCAAGATACCGGGCTACTTAGTTGACAGTGTGGCTTTTTATCGTTACTTCAGCGTTTTACCTGTTAGATCCGCTTATTGGATCTGGCGATATCATTGCCTGGTCGGGCTATCTAGTTGAGCCCGTCTCTTTATCATTACTG